GTGACAATGCAGCCACAGTTTGACTCTCCGACTTGCTCGGGATGCTCGGCTAAGGCTCATCAAGCTGGAGAACGGGGATTCCCCGAAGACCGGCAGGTGTCGGCAAGCGTGACAGATCGTGACCTGCTGTGCGGAGAATTGTCCGAACACTGGGGTCAGGCCCTGTATATCCTGCCTCCATCGCTCGTGTCTCCTTCAATATTTCTCATGTTTGGCACATAGTCTATGCATATGCATCTCCTTTTGCATGCCAAAAATGAGCATTATCGGAGTACAGGAAAGTACATAAAACGAAGGGAATTCGCAGAGGGCGCCTTTTTGTCCGAACACTGGGGTCGCGATAGTAGTACGGTGCATACCGTAGATCAAATTTTCAAAGCTGATTTGACAGCCGTCGGGACCCGGCTTCGATGGACACAGACGCTCGTTGGTGCACAGGCAAGAGCCCTTCTACCTCTCTTCCCTCTCCTCGCAACCCCTTGCGCTCCCCCTTCCTGCCCCATCGCCACTTCACACCTCTTCCTCTCTGTCGTTCATGCCTACCTTGTTGCTTCACTAGAAACGACTCAGGGCCTTTGCTTGATCCGTCATCTCACCCTAGTAAACGCTCGATCATGACTAACGAACCCAACCTCGCCTCTCTCAACGTTCAGTGGCAGCACAAGTCGAATTCCTCCCAGGTTCCGGATAGCCCCAATGGCGCCACGCATGGCCGAGAGGTGTCGGACGCCTCGTATTGGTCTGGTTCTATCGATGGCGCTCTGTCTTCTCGTTCGTCTACCCCAGATTCCACCGCGCCCTTGACTATGAACTTCCGCAAAGCTGACGTCGACCGGAACTGGAACGAGAAGGCCGAGAACGCTGGAGCCGCTCAGGTGACTGGTGATGGTGGTGAGAGAGAAATTCTTTTCGCGGTGGGGGCAGCGGGGAGGTTGCCAGAGGATGTTTACGAGCGGACGCTGAGCCGGTGGAGGGCCGGGCTACGCCGCGTGATTATGCGGAATATCGAGTTGGAGTCGAAAGCACTGGCTATCATGCAGGTGCGTCTCGTGCTTTGAAATATTGAACGTCGGTAGTCAGTACAAGCATGCTGCAGAGGAGCTGACTGGCGTTCGCAGTCGTACGTCCGACACCCTGTGTTGGATGCGTATTTCGTCTACACATCCTCCCTCGGGACACACACGTTCTTCATGATCATGCTTCCTTTATTCTACTTCTTCGGCGCACCTGATTTCGGACGAGGGTAGGTCGCGAGTCTTACGGTACATAAGGACGCGCCTAATTACTCGCTGCAGCCTACTGCTCATGCTTTCAACTGGTGTGTATGTCGCGTCCTTCATCAAGGACCTCTGTTGTGTTCCGAGACCCTACGCCCCGCCTGTCACCCGCCTGAGTGAGTATCCACCGAGAATTGAAAGAGTGCATCTCGCTAATTACGCCCTCGTAGCCATCGGTGACCATCATCTCGAATACGGCTTCCCATCCACGCACTCCACGAACAGCGTCTCAATCGCGCTCTTCCTTTATACCCTACTTCAGCGCGCATATACCCCAGCCTCGACCGCTATCAAGTCCTCCATCGATTCTGCAGTCTCCTCCGTGAACGCTACTAGCGTGCTGCCTACTGCGGAAGTCGTCGAGCTCGTGCAGGGCCAGATCTCCGAGAGAACATACCAGCTCGGCGTCGCGCTCCTGCTCTTCTACGTGTTCTCGATCGTCTATGGCCGATTGTATACCGCCATGCACTCCTTCACCGACTGCATCATGGGTGTAGCCCTCGGTGCTGGGATATGGGGTCTTCATGTCCTTTGTCGCGAATACGTAGATAATTGGGTGCGCGATGGTGGCTTCATTGGTATGTTCCACATCCCATATTGTTTGCCTACTAGTGATTGCACTCTAACTTGTGTGCTAGTTCCTGCCACCATCGTACCCCTGTGCCTATATCTCGTCCACAGGCATCCGCAACCGGTCGATGATTGTCCCTGTTTCGAGGATGCGATCGCGTTCGTCTCCGTTGTGATGGGCGAGTTCGTTGCGCGCTGGTACATGGAACACAACGGGTATGATGAGAGCTTTTTTGCACGCCCCATGCCCGGTGCTACCTGGGCGACCTGGTCGGACGTCGTCACCTGGTGGTCTACCGCGGCGACCAAGACAGTCATCGGTACGTTATCCCTGTATCGGTACTGCAACGCGATCTAATTGAGTACCGCTCCACAGGCGTCCTGACTATCTTCGTCTGGCGCATCGTCGCCAAGTCCTTCTGCCACTTCGTCTTACCCCCGACGTTCCGCTTCCTCTCGCACCTCTTCACGCTACCCCACCGCCGGTTCTACACTCCCGCCACGGACTATACCTCTGTGCCACCGGAGAAAGGTCTCCGCCCGATCCCGTCCGTGATCGATCTCCCGCGCATGGTCGAGTACGAGGTTGACGGCGTGGGTGCGTCCGATGCTGCCGCGAGCACCGCCCGCCGGTCGTACAGCGCGATCAAGAACCGCAAGGGCGGGCGCGTGGAGATGGACGAGAAGGTCGTGGCGATGAACGAGAAGAGCGCGAAGGGTCGCCCGGGCCTGAGCGTGGAATTGGACGAGGAGACGGGCGGGAAGGACGTCAAGCATTATGATGCTGATGGTGAGTGGCTGCATTCTTGAGGATCTCGCGCGGGCGTTCCCGCTCAGACTTGGCCCGGCGCGTTTCGTTGGGTTGTTGGTTTCATGACCGCTTGATTGTGCGAGGGCGCACACAGAGGCAAGACGCGTGCGGCTGCGAAATGCCCTGTCTGTCCACTCCGCTGATCATGCAACGGCGCGCGTAGCTTCGCTTGCCGTTAGGACGGCAAGGTTGCGATATGCAGTCTCTGTCTCTGTCTCCTAGGAGCTGATGGCTGATCGTATTGATGCGCTCGTTTCGCAGTGCTTACCAAGGTCTTCGTATACTGCGGCATTGGGATCCTGGCTCCGGGCGTGATCCCGGTGATGTTCGAGATACTTGGCTGGGGCGTCAAAACTAGCTGAACGTATGTCTCACTGGGGACCAATTGGTAATATGGTTATACGGGAGAGCGAGTTGTAAATTGGGGGGCTGGAGCTTGTGTGGTGATCGGTAGGGTCCTCATGCGCGTTCGTGTCTTTCTAGACTCTGCTGTTTCGCTCGTATGTATTGGCTTGGTTGTTCGGATCTCGTACTGTAGCTCCCGTGTCTAATGTATTTGTCGACTGTTCGTTGGTGTGCGAATTACGATGCATGGACGTACTTGCTAAGAAGACAGGATCATCCTGGCAGGTTTCCGTGGGTATCACCGAATCCGTCTGGACATGAACTGTAGAGTCCGTGGCGTGCTGCCTCGCCCTCGTTCTTGTGTCCAAGTCTAGTACACAAGACGGCATCGTTCAGGTATTGCTCACAGCTTTTGCTTGCTGATCGATATCGCTGCGCAGTGGTTCTGCCACGATACTAGTACTGCGCGCATCGTTGCATCATCTCAACGTTGAGGCTATCGGAGCTGCCGAAGGACGCGTACGCAAGGCCTGACTCAGGGCCCTCCGAGGCCGCCATAGACTTTGTTTAGGGTTTGAAGTGACTGCAAGGGTACCATTTCTTTCTCCGATAGGGGTGATGACACCGGACTACGAAAGCCAACGCAGTACATCAATCAGATCATCATAAAATTGAAACCCAGAGTATGAAAAAAGGCCTGTGAGTTCCAGATTGTTCTGTGCGAATGGAATATTACGTCAGCAACAGCAGGCGCAGAGGGCGTGCTGGGGCTTGTCCGCTGAAAACTCCATCTTCAGACTCTTACACCGCAGCTACCACCAGCCATGCTCGTCGACAATCCCGTACAACACAGTTTTCCCTCCTACAATGCCTCCTTCGAGGAGTTCTTCAACATGGAACTCTTCGCAGGTCCATCTAACCCCACCGCTGGTTCGAGTGGCTCGTCTCCCCGCTCGTCCCCTTCCAACTCCTATACCGGCCTTCCCCTCACTCCCCCAGAGCCCTTCTCAATCAACGATATCTCTCTTTCGCCCTCTCCCTTCTTCACCCTCTCCCAGGAGGATGACCAGTCTAAGCTCTCCACGTTCGTACCTCCCGCCACCACCGCTGCAGGCTACGACTTTCTTTCTTCGTATGCCCAACTGACCCAGATGAGCAGCCCTGAGTCCTCGGGCTCTGGCTCTGGCGGGTCGGCGGACTCACCCAGCATCGATCCTCAACTCATGCATACGCCTGCAGCCTCAAAGGCGGCGAGTGACTTTGATGAGGAGGAGGAGGGTGATGATGACGATGCCGCGATCGACGACGACCTCCAGACGATCCCCGAGGACTACGCCTTGCCCGCCATGAAGGTTGGCGGCAAGGGCAAGTCGAGCCGCAGGGGCACCGTCCGCGAGGGCGGCGTCGTAAAACGGTCGGGGAGCGTCGATAGGAAGGAGAATAAACAGCCTGTGAACATGCTCTCGACTACGTCGAGCGACCCCGATGACTGGCGGCCGTCGCCCGAGGAGTACAAGAAGATGTCCTCCAAGGAAAAACGTCAGCTACGCAACAAGATTAGCGCCCGAAACTTCCGTGTCCGCCGAAAGGGTGAGTGTTATTTCTGCTTCTCCTCTACAGAGCGTGTGTACAGGAATTATACAAGTCGTATCACGCGTCTGGCGTGGTTGTCACGACTTCAATGAGCACGGATTCCTGACGTTGGACAGTGGAGCATAGGGCTGTCCAAGCAGTAACGCTCTCTTCCTCTTTGTCCTGCCCTGCTGTGCATTAGAGTTCGGTGGCTGACCTCGTGTCTATCTATTATAGAGTACATCACCACGCTCGAGGGCGATATCGCAGAACGCGACAGGCTCATCGATGCGATCCGGACTGAATTGGGCAGCATGAAGAACGAGAACGTGGCCCTGCGCCAGGAAATCGACGCGCTCAAGAAGGCGCTTCTCGAAGGCCGAGGCCGTTCCGACACCCCTGTCCTCCTACCGCCTGCTCCCTTGCCTGCTGTCTCGGCAGCAGCTCGCGCTGCAGCTTCCTCCCCGTCGCCGTCAGGTGCCGCACCGCGGAGCCCGCTCCTTACGCCCAACACCCAAAAGGACCTACCCACGTCGCCCCGTATGGGCGCCCGCGGCTTCTGGGGTGGCGCGCATAGCTCGTTTGGTATCACGCCCGTTCACACCACGCTCGTGCCGGAGTGGAGCAGCATCCTCAATGGCAAGGGTTCCCCTGGTCGCCAGAGCCCCGCGTTGCAGGAGAACATCAACCCTAGCCTCAACAGTTCGACGGCTGCGGCGCTCACGTCGCTTCTGAACGCGAGCAAGGCGAACGAGGAGAAGCCGAAGGAGGCGCAGATCGCTATGGGTGGCTTCGACGCTTTCGCGGATATGAACCCCTTCACGCTGAAGTCTCTCGATGCGTGCGTATTGGCATCCCTTCCTTTCCGTTACATGTCTCATGTTACTAACCTACCTATCCAGCTACCGCATGCATCTCTGGGGCAAGATGGCCCAGCAACAGGCCCAGCAGCGTCACACTCAGCTCCAGCAGTCAGCACCTGCTCCCACTGGCCTTGCAAGCAACCTTCGTCCGCACTACTTCGCGAAGAGTCAATCGCTCTCTGCTCTTCTCTCCGGAAAGGCCGTCTCCTCTTCTTTCTCCTCCACTTCGACCTCCCATATCCCCTACCCCACTCCCCCCAACTCGCCTCCTCTCCCCGCTGCTGCCAGCAAGGCCGACGCTCCCACGGCGCAGCACGCCATGCTCGCCGCCGCGGCTTCACAGACTCTACTCGGCAAGCTCGGTGGCGCGTTCTGGGACGCGTTCGCGCGCCCGTCGGGGACGCTCGGCCCGAACGGCCACGTTAAGAAAGAGTGGGACGCGGACAAGGTCCGCCGTATCATGGAGGGCACGGCTGTGCTCAAGGTCGTCGACGTCGAGCCTCAGCCTTCTGTCGCCAAGGCGCCTGCTGCGACTCCTGCGCCGCTTAAGCAGGAGAAGAACTGCCTTAAGGAATGCCCTTCCAGCAAGGTTGCGGACATCCTTGCGGAGAGCATGGCGACCCTGAATCTCGGCCGCAAGTAGATTTCTTGATTGAGACTCCCTTAGCGACTTGCCAAGAGGACGCGTGCACGTCCAAGGTGAATATGAGGTTGACGTTACCCATGGCCCAAGACGAATAAGTATTCGCTATACGATTTCGCAATCTTCTCGCTCGCTGTTCGCTGAGCGAACCCACCCTCCTTATTGTCCATAGTTTCTTGACCCCCCTCTCTCCCAGTTATATATTGGTTCTCCCGTTTAATCGCCGTAGCTACTATACTCTCCTTCCTCTCGTCCTCGTCCATCCCTCACGAAGCCCTATCCCGACTCCAAGGACTTCCCGCTACTCCCGGATCTCAGTCATCAGCAATCAAATCCCCGCTCCTCTCGTCTGCCGAATCCGACTCCCGAAATCGATTGAAGGCATCTCGTCGAACTCCCGATTACCTGCCCTTCTCAGTGTGCCTGCTACCATCCCTTCCCCTTCCGGTATCCCTCCACCCCTCCCTCTGCCTTTCCTCGGTATT